TGCTTTTGAATTATGGTGCTGGAGGAGACTCTTGAGAGTCCCATGGACTGCAAGAAGATCAACACATCCATTCTGAAGGGAATTCAGCCCTGAGTGCCCACTGGAAGGACAGATCATGAAGCTGAGGCTCCAATACTTTGGTCACTTCATGAGAAAGAAGACTCCCTGGAAAAGACCCCAATGTTGGGAAAGATGGAGGGGCACAAGGAGAAGGGACGACAGAGGACGAGATGGCTGGACAGTGTTCTCGAAGCTACCAGCATGAGGTCTGACCAAACTGCAGGAGGCAGTGGAAGAGTCAGACACGACTAAACGACTAAACAACAACAACAAACCAGGCAAATCTCCTCAAGGAGGACATTCCACAAATGGGGTGCTGCCACCAAAAAAAGAGCTTCTCTTATTAAAAGGCAATTTTCTTGTAACAGATGGTAGCTGAAACAGGGAACTCCCAATGATCTCACTATGCAGGTAGGGTACAGGTGGTGGTATTCCCTTATGTGCTTGGTCCCAATCCATTTAGGGCTTTGAATTTGAACTCTTAACTGAATAGTCAGTCCGGGAAGTCTCTAAAAAAAACCCCCAAACTGGGAAGATGTGATCAGAGTAAGCAGAACCAGTTAAAACTCCAGAAGCAACCAGATACTAGAGACCAGTTTCAGCTACATCGCCCTGTCCTACCAGATCTTATTTCAGCTTCATTCCAAAGCTCTACCCTCAGCCTTTGACAATCTGCTGACATCCTATGTTTTTGACTACAACTCCCAATTAGCCCCAGCAAAGACGGCCATTTTATTCCAGTGATGTGTCCGGTTTTGCCATATCTCTTCTTGCCCTTGTGCAAGCACTTGGCCCCACCTTAGAAGACAGTACAGTGGTGCCCCGCAAGACGAATGCATCGCAAGACGGAAACCCGCTAGACGAAAGGGTTTTCCGTTTTGGAGGTGCTTCGTAAAATGAATTTCCTATGGGCTTGCTTCGCAAGACGAAAATGTCTTGCGAGTTCCTGCAGGGTTTTTTTCCTTCCCCCCCTTTTTTCCAAGCCGCTAAGCCGCTTATCAGCTGATCCGCTAAGCCGCTTAACAGCTGATCCGCTAAGCCGCTTATCAGCTGATCCGCTAAGCCGCTTAACAGCTGATCGTTAACCGCTTAACAGCTGATCCGCTAAGCCGCTTAACAGCTGATCGCTAAACCGCTTAACAGCTGATCCGCTAAAGCCGCTTAACAGCTGATCGCTAAGCCGCTTATCAGCTGATCCGCTTAAGCCGCTTATCAGCTGATACCGCTAAGCCGCTAAGCCGCTAATAGCGCTAATCCGCTAATCCGCTATTGGGCTTGCTTGCAAGACGAAAAAACCGCAAGACGAAGAGAATCGCGGAACGGATTCTTTTCGTCTTGCGAGGCACCACTGTATTGGCAAAACTAGAACTGAATGAGCTCAGGTGAAGCTACAGTAGGCTCCATTGGGGAAGGAGGCACTCATGCACACTCTCAAAACACATCATGAAAGGGGAAAGGAGAAATGTTGAAGCATTACAGTTGGTACCTCCCATCTACGAACGGTCCTCCTAATGAACTTTTCGACAAAGAACGCCACAAAACTGGAAGTAGGGTGTTCCAGCCAGTGAACTTTGCCCTGGGAAAGAAGCTGAATGGGGAAGGGCGGCCGGGGGCAAAGGGCGCCGGTGGAGGGAGGCTCCATTAGGGAAAGCATACGCCTTGGCTTAAGGACGCTTTGCTTAAGAATGGACCTCTGGAACGAATTAAGTTCGTAGACGGAGGTACCACTGGTATTTCAGGCGTGGACGAAGATCATGATCCGTGATAAGGTCATGTTTGTCAGGGAACAGAAGTGCTAGACTGCAGTAAACATGCCAGTAATCATATTCTTCCTATTGTCAAAGACCAGGCTATACAACCTACCCCACACTAAGAAGCAAACCATTTATAGGAAAAGGCTATTGATTTAACTTTTGATAGACTGTGGTTATCAGGAGACGCAGGTGAAAGTAATAATTCATCACTAAATATATTTTATTCAAATAAATGCCCCTTAAAACTACAAATTTAAATATCTGAAAGGCACCATTCTAGAATAATCTTATCCTCTGCTAAGGGAAATTCAAGCAAATCTGGCCAAGCAAATTAAACAAATTCAGTATTCTATTAATGTATCCTCCTTCCAAGAAGGTCAAAAAACCTGCTTGACACAGCATTTCCACATCTAAACAGATTACATAACTCTATATTGGTCTTTATGATTTAAGTGCATTTCAAGGGCAGCTGTCAGCATTAAGAGACATAGGTTCATTCGTTGTAACAGCCATTTGCCAAATACCTGCATTTGTGTTCGATCCTTGAAGCAGTACTGTCAAGGTCTCCATAACCAGCAAAGCAAGCTGCTTTTGGTCTTCAAATGAACTGTTGTTTCTTGAGTCCCCTAGAAAACAATTTCGAAAAGCTACAATGAAAGAAAATGCAGTGTATATATGCCCATGCTATTACCAAACTGCTTATTAATTCAGAGTATCGCTCCTATATTATATGTGCTGGCTGGTGTACAACAATCACTTTAAAAAAATGCTTAATCATGGTACAGCAGAAGGTGGTGTTCTACTTTGGTACATTGAGCCTACCTATACTTTGCATCTAGTGTGAAGTATTGGGATACAACTCAGAGGCAAGTCTATAGTGCATCACTATGTCACTCATGTTCATTTTAGTTTCAAAACTAAGTGAGAGTTTAAAAGGCTCTAGCAGGTTGTCTTACTCTTGTAAGCAATACCAATGTCTCGTGAGATTCTGCTGAAAACTACCGTATTTTTCGCTCCATAGGACGCACTTTCCCCCTCCAAAAATGAAGGGGAAATCTGTGTGCGTCCTATGGGGGGAATGCAGGCTTTCGCTGAAGCCTGGAGAGCTAGAGGGGTTGGTGCGCACCGACCCGTCTCGCTCTCCAGGCTTCAGGAAGCTATCAGCAAGCCTGGGGAGCCTGCGGGAGTTCCCGCAGGGCTCCCTAGACTGCAGATAGCAGCCTGCTGCTTGGAGCACGGGGCGCCCTCTGGAGGGCGCCCCGTGCTTTGCGCAGGTGTCCGCAAGCCTTGCGAGCCCGGCGGGAGTTGCCGGGGCTCGCAAGGCTTGCGGATAGCAGCCTGTTCTGGGGCTGGGGTCGGGGAAGCTCGGGCTTCCCCTGCCCCAGCCCCGTGGCTGGGGGG